GCGTGGATATGCAGAAGGCAGAGGAGAGGAGAGCAGTGGAAATCTATAGGCCGGTCCTTGAGACGGAAGCACCAGGTCTAAAGGTGGCTGATGAGGAAGAGGAGGATCAGCTTGGTCCAGTGCCTGATGCGTGGATATGCAGAAGGCAGAGGAGAGGAGAGCAGTGGAAATCTATAGGCCGGTCCTTGGGACAGAAGCACCAGGTCTAAAGGTGGCTGATGAGGAAGAGGAGGAACAGCTTGGTCCAGTGTCTGATGCGTGGATATGCAGAAGGCAGAGGAAAGGAGAGCAGAGAGAGAGAGAGAGAGAGAGAGAGAGAGAGAGAGAGAGAGAGACTTTTTTCCTGGATTGTGATGCTCCTAATAAAGGAATAATTGATTTAACTGTAGAGGGTTTGTCGTTATTGGGAGCCGGGTCAGAACAATCTGTCCCTCAACACTACCATCAATACCATCTTCTCAATGGAGCTTGTCATTTCCCACTTTCTCTTTGTTGTGGTTCGCCAGCAGCCAGTGCAGGCGGCAGAGGTATCAGACAGTGAGGAAGAAAGGGGACCAGTCAGGGAGTCTGGAGAGGACTTGGATGAGGGTTCTGCGTCCTATGCAGAGGTGGAGCCAGGACCATCTGGGAATTGTGTGCTGATGCCGGAACCTCTAGACTCTGGCAGCAGTGAGGCAGAGGAACCAGGGGAGCCTGTTCCCAGTGTGTGTGTGTGCAGAGCTGCTAGAAGGCAAGAGCAGCTGAAGCAGAAGGGGTGACTCAGGAGTAAGGCTGGGAGGTGATTGCCCCTCCCATAAGGGATAAAAGTCAGACCTCAATGATGAAAAGCTTTGCAAAAAGCAAAGCAGTTCAGTAATTTCCAAGACCTTCTTGAAGCTCTGTGGATTCTGGTCGGTTTTCTGGGTTTTGGGGTTGGTTAATATTATAATTAATTGGACTTCTGTTTGTTGGCAAGCATTCTCCAGCACTGAAAAGCGGTTTGTTATCTGGAGGAACTGTATCTAATGAGTTTTGGCTGGGAATTCAAGTAATTCCCAGTGTTGCATTAAAATAGGTTTTACTTTTAAAATAAGTTTGGGTTTCATTAATTTTGACAAAGCCTGGGTCAGAACACTCTTCAGCCTCATCTTCTTGAATCGTTTAATCTTTCCCTGTCCTCAGTCAATTTCTTTGATCCTGCATAACTAACCCTTGCTTTCAGTGCAACCACATTTGCTACAAACCATTTTTCCCTTGCAAACTACAGCAAAATCAAATCTGGGAAGTGCGAGAAAGAGTTCAATACAGTTTTTTTTTTAGCCTAACCCCCCAAATACAGGTAGTCCTTGCCTTACAACACATCACTTAGTGACTGTTTGAAGTTACAGTGTCACTGAAAAAAACTCTGTTTTTTGCACTGCGGCATCCCAATGGTTACATGATCAAAATCCAGAAGCTTGTCAACTGACTCATATTTATGACGGTTGCCATGTCCCAGGGGTATGTGATCCTCTTTTGCAACCTTCTGACAAACAAAGTCAATGCAGAAGCCAGATTCACTTTACAACCGTGTTACTAATTTAACAACCGCAGTGATTCATTTAACAACAATGGCAAGACTGGTCATAAACTAGGATAAAATTCAGTTAACAATGGTCTCGCTTTAACAACAGAAATTCTGGGCTTAGTTGTAAGTGGAGGACTATCTGTACACTTAATATATCAGTGATGGCAAACCTTTTTGTTGTGGTGTGCCAAAAGCGCATTGTTGAGGTAATTCCCCGTTAGGAGAATGAGCGCATACAGGGAGACGTATTTGAGAGTAGTGTTTGAATAATACACATACAGCACACAGATACACTGTACAGTAAGTGTAGGTTTTTACTTCCAGAAACATTAAGCAAAGTCCAAACAAGCTATCCAAAATCATTCACAGGTAAATCAGTCAGTTTTTCAATCCAGGGATAATCCAAATATCAAAGTCCAGTGTCAAAAAACAGTTCAGTAACAGACTTACATTAAATCCATGAATATCAGTCAATTAGGAAAAATGGAGGAACGGCAATACTTTCCAACAGAAGGAAACAGAGATACACTCACGCTCTCTTCTGAGATTCAGATTAAACCACCCAGGTTTCTGGCTCCATCTTATGGCTGTTTGAGAAACTACACCTAATTACAGTTTTGCATTTTCTTAAAGATACAGTTTTAAAACATTTATCCTGGTTTATATATTTCTAACCCAACTAGCTGTTAGGTGACTCATATTCCTAATACACATGCGCGTGCCAGCACCCACAATGCAATGCACCCCTCCATGCATGCATGCGCAATACCTCACCCCACCCCCTTACCTGCACTGCACATGCATGTGCCTCCCAGCTTATTTTTGGCCTGTTTGAGCCATTTTTGCCTTCCTGGAGACTCAAGGGAAGCTTTTGGGTCCGTTTCAGCATTTCCGGTATTTCCAGAAGGCCCATTTTTCGCCCTCCCGAGGCTGCAGACGCTTCCCTTGAGCCTCCAGGAAGGCGAAAATGGCTCAAACAGGCCAGCTGGGAGGCGCATGCATGCGCAGTGCAGGTAAGTTTGGCTGGGACTCATGTGCCAGCACAAATGGCTCTGCATGCCACTGTGGCACACATTCCATAGGTTCACCATCATGGTAATAGGTCATTAGATCACAGTGGATAAATTCGAAATAAATATGGTCCTTGTTCATATCTTAAAACCAGTGTGAACAAGAAGTTTCCTCCTTCTAGTTTAGTTTTGTTTAGTTTATTGTCATTGCACCCTGTACTACGAAATCAAACGTCATCTTCAGTGCACATTGAAAATAAAACACAAACACACATCCTTCACGCTGCACGCATATTGAATTGAAAACCCCAACACCGCATCAACACTGCACTATACAGTGGAATTCAACAGAGCTACTGCCCTGGGATAGAAGCTGTTTTTCAGCCTCTTTGTCCTTGTTTTTATTATCCTGTACTGTCTGCCAGTTGGTAATAGTTCAAAAAAAGGGTTCCCAGGATCTTTGAGAATGTTTTGAACTTTCTTAAGGCAGCGGGAGCTATAAAGCTCTTCCAAAGAGGGGAGAGGGCAACCCATGATCCTCTGGGCAATGACATTAACCCTCTGGGAGTGCTGTCCTATCTGCCACTGTGCAATTGGCAAACCATACAGAGGTGCGGTAAGTTAAGATACTCTCTATGGTGCAGCGGTAGAAGGTCACCAGCAGTTTTTCATTCAGTTGTTGCTTTCTGAGAAGTCTCACGTAGTATAATCTCTGCTGGGCCCTTTTAACCAGGGCTGCAATGTGAGCACCCCAGGTCAGGTCCTCTTTTATGGTAACACCCAGAAACTTAAAACTGGCCACTTGCTCCACTCGGTCTCCATTGATAAGCAAGGGCTGGATTATCTGATCTGTTCCTTCTATAGTCCACTATAAGCTCCTTGGTCTTATTGGTGTTGCGGACCAAGTTATTGTCTCCACACCATGAAAGCAACCGGTCCACCTCACCTCGGTAGGTAGGCTCATCCCCCCCGCTCCCCTGGAGATGAGTCCCACCACTGTTGTATCATCTGCAAATTTAGAAATAGTATTACTAGCGTGAGTGGGAATGCAATCATGCACAATGCACAGTCATTCCTCCTTCTGAGTCCTCAAGACGTAAATATGTATGCAGTAAGATTAACAGTGATGACAGAGTGAAGTACAGCATACAGAAGTTACTTCCATTATAAACACAGTCTGTAGATAACATAAATATATTTCGACCCTTATCCTTATCCTGTCTTTCTCTTATACTTGATATATAAATGGTACGTCAAGAGAGGATTTCCCCTGCTCTGTCCTTTGCCATCCACAGATATTAATGAAATTGTCAGGTTTTTCCATACATAAACCTGAGAGCTCAAATCATAGTGCCACCAGAGGGTGGATTGAAAGATGGAATGGCTGCATGCACCTTTTGGCTGATAGAAACAAGATTTTAGAAACATGTTGCAAAATATACAGTACATATAGGTGATTTCCATTGGGGAGGAATCCCTATTTTTCTCCCTAGTCTTTCATGAATATATTGAATTGAATTGAATTGAATTGAATTCTTTATTGTCATTGTACATATATACACAGTATACAACAAAATTCACATAACACCCAGAGATCAGATTCAACATACACACATACATGACAATCACCAAATAGCTCCCCACCCACTAAAATTCCCCACCTCCTAAAAACACGCAAGCATCCACACAACAGACCAAGTAATACTGTCCAACAGCTCACTGATGGTGGTATTTAAGTTCATTGTTAAGTGCAATTATAGCTCTGGGATAAAAACTGTTCAGAAAATGTGTGGTCCGAGTTTTAATTGCTCTGTATCTTCTGCCAGAAGGCAATGGTTCATAAAGATTGTAAGCAGGATGGGAAGAGTCTCTGAGAATGTTGTGCAACTTCCTCAAATAACGGGATGCAAAGATGCCATCCAGGGCTGGTAGCTGGAACCCAATGATATTCAGGGCAGTTTTAATTATTCTCTGTAGAGCTTTTTTTGTCTGCTACAGAGCTGCTCCCATACCGTGCAAGAATGCAGTATGTCAGGACACTCTCAATGGTGCTGTGGTAGTAGGACAGAAGTAGATACTGAGATAGATTTATCTTCCTATATATGTTTCCTTAAGTTTTCGCGGGTACTTACATGTATGGCATTCAGCTTTGTTCGGGTATTTTTCCACGTCTCATCTCTCTCTCTCTCTCTCTCTCTCTCTCTCTCTCTCTCTCTCTCTCTCTCTCTCTCTCTCTCTCTCTCCATCTATCTATCTATCTATCTATCTCTCTCTCTCTCTCTCTATATATATATATATATATCTCCGAGGCCTTCAATATATTTCATCCGGGTTTATTGATTTGTGCAATAAAGTTTGAGTGTTGGGTGTTCCGTCATGAAATGAATCATGTAGAATTTGAATACCAACATAAATTAATTGATCATTGTGTGGCTTTCCTCCAGGTCTGAAGACTCTCAGGAACAGCTGGCTAATAATTCTGGATAGAGATAAGTTCTTATAGAAGTCCTCTCCTCTGTCTGATGACACGGGAACATACAATTATGAATCCAAAAGACTCACTGGAAGAGACCGAAGGAAGCTCTGCTCCAATATGTTTGGCCTGTGGCCAAAGGCATCTTCCAGAAGAGAACCATATATACACCTACACAGAAGAGGTAGATGATGACCTAATCTGCCACATTTGCTTGCAGCCTTTGCTTCAGCCTCTGGACACACCCTGCGGACACACGTACTGTACAGTTTGCCTTACAGATTTCCTCGTGGAAAAAGATTTCTGCCCTATGGACCGCAAAGCTCTAGCTCTACAGAGGTGCAGGAAGTCAAGCATCCTAGTGAATAAGCTCCTCGATAAGCTAATGGTGAACTGTCCTTTCACAGAACACTGTTCAGAAATTGTACAACGCTGTAATCTTGAACATCATTTTCAGAATGGGTGAGTACCTTTTGGTCTGGTTCATATGTCTATGTTATTTATTTATTTATTTATTTGTCAATCGTTTACAAGATAATAAGTATAAGTATATACATAGTTATGAATACATGAAATGGGTACATATGAGAAAAATAAAAGAAACAATAGGACAAGGATGGTAGGCACGTTGATGAGCTTATGCACACCCCCTACAGACCTCTTAGGAAGGGAGTGAGGTCAATAGTAGACAGTCTCAGGTTAAAGTTTTTGGGGTTTGAGGAAGAAACTACAGAGTCAGGTAGAGTATTCCAGACATTGACCTCTCTGGTGCTGAAGTCATATTTTCTGCAATCAAGTTTGGTGCGGTTAACCTTGAGTTTGTATCTATTCTGTGCTCTTGTGTTGTTATGGTTGAAGCTGAAGTATTCATTGACAGGTAGGACATTGCAATGTATGATTTTATATACCATACTTAGATCAGACCGAAGATGGCGTAATTCAAGGTTTTCTAGGTCTAGAATTTCAAGTCTGGTAGCATAAGGTATTTTACAACTCTTCTTGTGAAATATTTCTGGACTTTCTCAACTGTGCTAATATCAGATACGTAATGTGGGTTCCAGACTGATGAGCTGTATTCGAGTATTGGTCTAGCAAATGTTTTGTATGCTCTAGTTAGTAGTGTGATATTACCAGAGAAAAAGCTATGTAGGATTAGGTTAACAACTCTTAATGCCTTTTTGGCTATGTAGTTACAGTGGGCTCTAGCACTTAGATCATTAGAGATGTGTATTCCAAGGTCTTTTACAGAGCTTGGATCATCAACAAGATATTGACTATTCAGCTTGTATTTTATTTTCTGAAATTTTTTTTGCCAATATGTAAGACAGAGCATTTATTTGTTGAGATTTGAAGTTGCCATTTGTTTGACCATTCAGATACGTAGTCAAGATCTTTTTGAAGGGTAGCAGTATTGTCTGTGGTATTGAACAACTTTACATCATCAGCGAAAAGAACGCAGTTGCTCTTAATATGATCACAGAAGTCATTTGTGTAGAGTATGAAGAGAGTTGGTCCTAGAACACTGCCTTGGGGGACACCACTGTTGACAGGTACAGAATTTGATAGGACACTCCCAATTTTGACAGGTACAGAATTTGATAGGACACTCCCAATTTTGACCATTTGTTGTCTGTTTGACAGGAATGCTTCTATCCAGTTATGCAGTTGTCCAGAGATACCATAGGATTTTATTTTTAGGAGTAGTTTGTCATGTACCACTGAATCAAAGGTTTTACAGAAGTCTATATAGATTGTGTCTATTGCTTTGCCCTGATCGAGTTGTGTCGTCCATATGTTTTTGCAGTGTAAGAGTTGCAGATTACAGGATAGTTTTTTCCTGAAACCAAATTGTTTATTGGAGAGTAGGTTGTTTGTCTCTAAGTGGAGGATAATGGATTGGTTAATAATTGACTCCATGACTTTACAGGTGACGCAGCATAAGGAGATTGGTCTGTAATTTTCAACTAGGCTGGAGTCTCCCTTTTTGAAGATGGGGATGACCGTGGCTTGTGACCATAGGTTAGGCAAGGTCCTGAAAGATTTTTCAAAGATCATGCTTAGAGATTTGGCTATGGCAGTGGATATGTATAGAGAAAAAAACCTCAATCTGAATGTGATGACCCAGGGTGGGATCCAAAACAAACACAGTCACAGAAAACAGGTGAAGCCCCTTTTATTCCTTCACTTTGCTTCCAAGCTCCGAATATCCTTGACGGAAGACAAAAAGCTCCCACACAAACAGTTACAAGAAGAAGGAAAAAAGCAATACAAATGAGGCAAGATAAGGGCTGGAGGACATCCACAGATAAGTGAACACACACTGGGAAGGATGCCAAACTCAGAGAGGAGCCATCAACTAGAGATATTTCCACAATTTGTTTCCAGCACTTGCCTGAACGCATGTCCGTCCTTTTATTCAGTTGTCACAGCTGCAGCCCATGAAGAGGATCAAGGGCCTCTCCTCCCAAGTAGACCACGTCTCTCCCTTATCCTCTCCTCCCTGCGTGCCCTAAGATGGAGAGGGGATGGGCCTGGGTCCTCCTCTGACTGCTCAGCCGGCCTCTGCCCTTCCCCAGCCTCCTCCACCACCTCTGGAGCTACACTTCCACTCCCTATCGGCTGTTCCTCCTCTCCCTCAGAGTCAGTCTCCACCAGGGGCATGACACTGAATAACATTTTCTATCAGACATTCTCTTTCTTCCTTATTTTTTTGTCCTTTAATGACTCCGTAATCCCTTAATCAGGGTGGAGTCGGGGCAACTGAATGGAGCTGAGTGTTTACTGGCCAGATGCCCTTCCTGTTGCCAATGTGAAGTTCACAGCAAATATATTCTCATTGTGCCCAGAGAGAAAAATATCTGCCACTACTGAGGATTAAACTGACAGCCTCCTGATTGTGAGGCAAGAACACCACCTCTAGGCCACTGCACCATTCTCTGTTTCTTCCATATGATATAATTAAGTCTGGATATCAAGTTAGATATTAAATATAAGGTGGTCTTTTAGTAGCAACTGCTTTATTTTATGAATAAATGTATCCTCCACCTTTCCGCTTGCATGAATTAAAAGGCAGCTTCCAACAACAACACCAAATTCAGATGCTTTCTGGGTCAAATAAGGGTTCGTGCAAGTATTTCCGGGAGGTGTAAGTGATGGAGCACGAGTCATCTTAGATGCGTAAGCTTTTTGTATTTATGCACACTGTGCGATGTTGTATTATGGGATGCAAGTGAAAAGGTGACGTAGGCAAAAATTGGGTTGTGCTAACCTTTCTGGAATAGAATCGTTATGTAAGATGGGAAATGCAAATTGAGACAGGAGAATCCATTCAGTGAAGTCACCACTGAAAACCAACATCAGAATCATTAAGTTCAGTTAGCAGTGAAAAGTGTCAACTAAAAAGATACTCCTTTGGTCTTTTTAGTTGCCAGAAAAAAAAGGAGTGGGGGAAAACAAGGCATTCTTGAAATGCCTAGATAATCACCTCGGTAGCCCAAAGTTGTCAGAGCATAAGTAGGTTATTGGAGAGCATGATGGATGACTCTTGGAGACGGACGTGTCCCATTGGAGAAGTCACATCCAGGGGGTGGGGGAAAGACCAGGGTCAAGGGGGAAATGTATGGTGTGGTTTAGTATCAGCTGCACCCAGCCACATGCCAACATGGCAATTTCTAATAAACCAATTTACTTTTTCTGAGATGTGGCCAGAGACTTTTGATTTGAACGAGGGTGGATTTGTTGGAACCCTGACAAAAAGCTTGATAAATAATTGGAAGAATCATAGCAAGCAAGGAATATAATTCAGGCGCTAAACTGTTTAGAGGGATTTAAGGTGAACACCAGCACCTTACATGACCAGAGTTCACGTTTTGCTTCTTCCCCATTCCCAGAAGGAAAAGTTCAGGTTGCAAAATTTGTTCCCTTTTCATCCACATTCCTCAAAATAAGGAGGGGAAGAGGACATTGTAGAGTGGTGAAAAATACCCACAGGAAAATGTGTTTTAGATAGGTTTTTAAACCTGTATGTGTTTTCGCAGCTTGCTTAAATCTAAAAACAATACTTAGCATGTAGGGACGTACATGTAGTCTATCAAGGGTACCCAACCCCCAGTCTACCGACTGGGAACCAGAGCCCACTGGGAACTAGGACTGGGTTTGGTGCGGTGTGTCTCATGATGATGGTAATAAAAGGAAAGGGAGCAAACTCAAACCCAACTCTAACCTTGCCTGGCTTTTAGCCTTTCTTGTCAGATAAGCGTATTTGTTGTTTGCTGAGCTAATGAATAAACCACCATGGCACTACTACAAAGGAGCTGGAGTTTGTATTCATTTCAGAACAAATCTTCTATACTCAAGGACTGGCTAAGACGGTGTTTCTACATCCTTGCGAGCCGCCTTGAATCACCATGTGTGAGCAGGCGGCAATATAATTTTTCAAAAACAAATAGACACGCTGCTGGCGATCGTCTCAATGGCACTTATTCCTAATTTTAAAACTGGAGAGAAGGGTTTGCATGTGTAATTAGACAACATTCAGCCTAGATTTCATCACGAAGAGCTTTAATATTCCCCCTCCCTCCACCTGGTTGAAGCCAATCAAATGGGATCCTGACTGGGAGGGAAAAATAGGTCTCCGTTTGTGATAAATACATATATAGCCTCATCTGCTCCCAGGCTGCATCTCTTTTGCTAGGTTCGGATTCGTTCCTTGCCTCTTGTCTTATGCACCTCAGCTTCTAACCTGTCTGCCTTTCTACCAATGATGTCAATGTATCAGCTGCTTCTAAAAAACCATTCTGAAGATCGCCAAAGGATGCGACTCTCACTCCTGTGTGCCTCAGCCTTGGCTTTTTGCTGTGTTTTTCCTTTTTTCCAGCTCTAAGCCCTGCATTGCCTCCAGCTATTGCTGCTCGGTTCTCCCTAAAACAATCCTCATCCCTAACCTTCTTGGGAGAATCAGCTCAAATCAACTTGCAGGTCAATGAGCTTTCTTCCAGAATAGCTTCATTGAAGTGATTTGCATTCGTTCCTAATGCGTTCTCGATTGGGTTGAAAAGGCTTATAGGATGGGAACAGGGAGGACCTGAATATTGGCTGACGTTTTAAAAAAACCCAAACCAAAAAGGAAGCTTGAGGTTCTGTATCCCATCGCAGAAAAACTGAGGCAGAGAGGAAGGAGCAAAGAGGAGACTTAAGAGCAACTTGCAAACAGAGACTTGCAAAAATGAAAGCTCTCCTGCTACTGGTTCTTCCTTGGTTAAGTCCTGCAAACTATACAGACAGTGTGGGAAATCTGCATTTCCTGTACTCAGAGCTGTGAGTACTCACAGTTGTGTTGTGGTGGTGTCTCTGTGTTGTGTCTTGTGTCCCCTTATAAAAAAAAAACAAGCACTGCTAATTTTCCTTGCTTCGTGATAGTGCCTCCGCAATATGTGTGTTTGTATATATAAATGAACAAGCTT